CCCCATGCCCACAACCAACAGGTTGGAATGCCCACATACTATGAGTCCAACCATCCTCGGGATGGAATACTCACGGCCCACAACCAACAGGTTGGAATGCCCAGGTCTATTGGCTTTCACACAAAGCAGATAGGCCTCAAGTCCTCAACCGCCAAACAAACATATGCACATATAACAGATAATCACATAATAGTCTACAGACAATACTTGATCTAACAGATCATACTACATAGCACATAACACCATCCTATCTACCAGGATGCCGATCTAACAGATCATACTAGCCTAACATAACCAGATAACAATCCAAAGGGCTGGCCTTGGTGCCTTAGACCCTTGAGTATAGTGAGGAAAACTCACCTCACAATGTCGCACTGAAAATGATAGGCTCAAACTCTCGAATCACCAACACGAACTCCGCCACCTATAGTTACCATAAAACCCTTTTTCCATAAATCTCCAAATTACCAAAATGCCCCCAGAGGTCAACTGGTCAATCCTTGGTCAAAGTCAAAGTCCACAGCCAAAGTCAATAGTCCATGTTGACCCGACTCGTCGAGTGTAGATCACTAACTCGTCGAGTCCTTCCTGAACTCGAGAAGTCGTGAAATCCTTGGTTGACTCGTCGAGTTTCCCTAGAACTCGCTGAGTTCATGCGTGTCCAAAGGTTGGGAGAAACCCTAGCCGACTCGCCGAGTCATTCGACTGACTCGCCGAGCCCAAGGCAATCTTCATCGGACTCGCCGAGTTGTTCATCCAACTCGTCGAGTACAGGACCATCTTCATGTGGCTCGCCGAGTTGACTATGCAACTCGCCGAGTCCCTTCAGACCTTCATCCATACAGGTACTTTTTAAGCCATGCAACGGCTCCATATTGCAGATCCAAGCTTCTAAGGCATGTTTATCACGTAAAGTTGCAAACTTTACGTGCATGTAAGGCCCTAGAGACTCTAAATGACCAATCTAAGCTTCTAATGGAGCTTTACACCTTATGAGAGTCTCATTCTTGCAAGAGCTGGAAACTTTATGGACTTAGAGACCCAAGAGAGTTCAGATCTGAGGTTGCAACCTCATATATGAGCTCAAACACAAGAAAGGTTTCCTAATAAGCTAGAAAAGCCCTAAAATCCACCCAAAATAGATCTAGAATGGAAAGGGGGTTAGAATAACGGCTTAATACCTTCCAAAAAAGATGCCAACTAAGGTAGATTTCTGGTTCCACACGTTCCTTGCTCCTAGTCACTCGATCTCCAATCTTCTTCCCACCAAAAATCCTCTTCCCAAGCTTAAGAACACAAATGGAGTACACTCACATGAATTAGGGTTTAAGGGTGTCAAGTAACTGTAAAGGGGAGGCAGGGGAAGGCCAATGATCCTTTAAATAGGGTGCAATACCCCGAGATTTAGGGTTTCATCTACCAGCTCCTACTCGTCGAGTCCCTTCTTGGACTCGGCGAGTAGGTCACTAAAACACGTGGACCAACCCGCTGCTACTCGACGAGTAGGGCAACCAACTCGTCGAGTAGACCTTGAAATCAAAGAATTTCTTATATAAATCAATACCTGAGAATCGGGGTGTTACAGACATACCTAGTTTTATGATGTGCTCGGCATGTGATTGTTGTTTCTCTTTTCTTGACAAAGTTGGGAAAGGGCATGGTTGAAGTGGGTAAGGCGTGAGAATGAGGTGGAGCTTAGCAAACTCGACCCCACTCCCACAGGCCTACAATGTATTTTTAAGGGATCCCAAACATTCACGTTTAACAACACTTCCATTTTTCCCTTTTCTTAAAATTAGTTGCTTCCTGTCTTTTACAACCATAGTTTTTGTTTTCTCGTTGCATATAGATTCTCCCGCCACTGCCATTTCCCTATACGCAGACACTCACCACCTCCACCACCCTATATGTCGCATATGAGACCACAACCTTCACTGAGCTTCAACACCACTAATTTTTGTTTCTACTGAGCTTCACTTCCATCTCTCTCTCTCTCTCTCTCTCTCTCTCTCTCTCTCTCTCTCTCTCTTTCTCTCTCTCACTCACTTACTCTATCTATCTATATATCTATCTATCTATCTATCTATGTATCTCTCTCAATCTCTATAAGAAAAAACCTTAAATTGACATTGTCACCACCAATCAAATATATGTAGAGATTGATTAAAGAAAATAAGAGAAAATGAAGAAAACCCTAAACCCATCGATGTTGAATGAGAAAACCACCAAAGTAACCCCAACTCTAATTCCTCGTCTTTAATCTTGAGTATATTCAGTATCCCTTCAAATCTATGGTAGATAGTGATTCACAATCCTCATCCTCATCGTCGAATCCCGACTAATATCCTCATCCCCGCCCCTATCCCTATGGTAGAATAAAAAATGTGTCCTCATCCTCATCCCTCGAGGAACGAGGATCCCCGTCGGAACAATCCATAAGACATATATATAACCAAGGTCAGCCCTCCCCCATAAGGCCCCAGAAGTTGTGTGTGTGTGTGTGTATATATATATATATATATATATATATATATGGTTAGAAAGATATGAAATTCTAGTTTCCAACGCAAAAGTTTGATAGAAACTCAAATTTTTATAATTACCTCAACATAAATTACAACTTTTATCCTACGAAAGCTCAAAACTCAATACTTTATTTTTAGACCAACTTCAATAAGAAATTTGGAACAATCCATAAGACAAAAAAATTATGTATGATATATGATTAGAAAGATATGGAAGTCTAATTTCCAACGCAAAAACACTAAGCCAATTAGAGATTTCTATAAAACATTAGGCTCGGTTACAGGTTATCAAGTGGACATGTTGATTTGACCTTTAACTCAACCTTATGCCTTGTTCCCGAGTTGTACTTAAGGAGTGATATGGATGGATACAGAGGGAAAGTGAGGGATGTCGAAGGAAAATCGTGTTTCCAAGTTTCATTAATGGAAGGAAAGTGAGGGGAATGAAATGAGTTTGGAGCCATATTTTCCTTCCAAATTGGACGGATTTGGGAAGAAAGTGAGGGGAAGGAAAATTTTAAGTTTTATTTTCTTTTTCCTCCTAACTCAGGAACACAAAAGGTATCTCCATCACCATCTACCAAGGTGCTAAATAACGTAAGGCGTGACTTGGCAGCAATGTCAAGCCTCAAACTTTTTTGAGTCGTGGCGAGCCATGTCGTTTGTAAATCGTGACTCAAGGCGGAAATTTTGTATATAATTAATAATTTTATATGTATTTTCTACTATTATTCATCTTTATATACATATGTGACTTAAGGCGACATTTTGTCAAAGCTTGGCGGCAAGTACAAACCTTGGAGCCATGGCGGAGCCGTGGCGAGCTTTTTACAACATTGCCATCTACACCTTGTAGTTTGGATTCTCCATCCATGTCCAACTTGGGTTTCGGTATCTGATTCCCCATATGGTACAGATTTTTCTTTGTCATTTCTAAAATGCTTCTAGAAAATGATATAAGAAAATAACCAACCGGTATTTTGTTTTTAAAACATCACTTCAATGTTAATGTGGCTTCAAAACCACAAAATATCCCAATTGCATTTACAGGGGTGTTTAAACAAGGTTTTGAGGAATGTAACGGTCATCGAACTGGTTGTCTTACTGAACCGATGGTTCTACCGGTTCGATAGGTCAGAGCATTCGAAAAAATCATATGATATCATTATTACCTCATAATTATTTTTTATATTATAAAAAAGTAATAAAAAATACAAAAACTACCAAACTTAAGTTTAAAAGACCGAACAGGGAAAACTTGGTGTATATAAAACTCCAATGAAATTAGATTAAGTTTAATTTTACGAATTTAAAAAAACAAAATAAACATTTTTTCTAAAACCAATTTTTATTTTTTAGGGGTGTTTGGATAGGGAAAAAATAGGCTGCTTATTGTTTATTGCTTAATCCCACCGCAATAAGCAAATTTAAGTGTTTGGATAGGAGTCTTTAAAAATCAGCTTATTGTGATAGGAATAAGCAAAATAAGATAATTTTAATAAGCAAGGGGGGAATGCTTATTGCTTATTGGTCATTTTACTCGTATAAGCCGTTTTATTTTGCCTAACACTTAAATGCTTATTGCTTATTACTTATTCCCACCGCTATAAGTTAATCCAAACACATTTTAAAAAAATACTTATTCTCACCACAATAAGCAAATAAGCAATAAGCTAATAAGCTAAAAACTATTTATCCAAACACCCCTTAGTGGTTGTATTGGTACTGATCGAGCCGGTTTTCACTGATTCATATACAAGTAGTTTTAGTCTTCAAAAAACTGGCAAACTGATTGGTTCCATTTGAATCGGTCGGTCCAACCAATGTTCACAACAGCAGTTTTAAAAAGGAATTGCTTTAACCATCAAAGACTCAAAATTGTCACAATTTGGCCACTAAATTCCTGACTTCGCTAATTAAATCCTTAAACTTCAACTTTGTCAAGAATAGCCATTGAGACATGCTATAGCAAGTGTGTAGGTTTCAATGCTTATGTAGAAAGAAACACTGACATGTACTTTTTCCCCAATGATCCTTTTGCATCTTCCTTCCCCTACACTCGCCCTAATTGGCCAAGGAAGGTGTCGTCATTGTCACCACGACAACCATGGACGACCATCACCACTACAACATACATCTACTCACCAAAATCAAGCAAGAAAGGCATCATCACCACCAACAACCACCACAGTTGCAATATACAGGTGGTTAGAGAGAGAGAGAGAGAGAGAGAGAGAGAGAGAGAGAGAGAGAGAGAGAGAATTAAATAAATGAGTCAAAATTGTCCAAGTGCCGCCTCAAAAACACATAAACCTATAAATGGCGACAATTTGAGACTTCCATGCTCAATAAATAAAGTCAAATACTTTTAAAAACAAAAAAAAATGATTACATTCTTATAACATAATTTTAGTACGATTGTATCTTGAAAACAACCAATTCCTTTTTATAAAACATAAACACCACTCAATCTAGGATTTCAGACAATCAAAGAAAACCAAACACGAATTTAGAAATCCAATTTAAAATTCAAATGTGATCTCAAGAGTAACAACCATAACTCCACCTTCAAATACCTCAATTCATATACTCCAATTCAAAATCTCTCTAAACTTTTGGATGTAAAAGAAATATGTCTACCATCTTCAATATCGATCAAAATTACAACAAAAACAAAAAGGACTCAAATCGAATACAATGATAAACTTAACTACATATTATCTCAGCCACTTCAAAGTTTCAAGGTGCAAGAACAATAACTCCAGCAACTTGGTCAAGATCCCGTCTTCCATTAGAAGTTATCCTCCTCCCTCTGAAACATAAAAGAAAATGAGGGTCGGAAAAACTAAAAAGTGCAGACTTTGAATGATAGTTTGTATTTGAGACCAAACAGATTGGTTGTTTAAAATGGTGTGAATGGAAGTATAAAATAACAAAAACTCACCCTTTTGGGTCCATATCAATGATTTTCATGGTTTCCAACTGCTGAAGAATGTGACGAGCAATGCCACCACTGCTTTTGCAGAAATGTGGTGGAGCACTTCCATTCCTTTTACGACCACCGTAGATCCTCTGGAATGCACCAACACCAAGACCACCCCTCAGGTAAATTTTCCTAGCAATAGAAGCTGCAAAATGTGTATAAATCAGGCTTCATTTCTTTTTGAGATTTAGGGTTGATGCAAGACATAAAAAGAGCACTTACCAGCTCTGATATAGTACCAATCTGGATCATAGGGAGCAAGTTCCTTAAAAGTAGCAGTCTTGACTATATCAGTCCATTCAGGAAGCTCCATCTATATGCGAAATACATGAATTGATTATTAAAAAAAAACCTTCAGAATTTCTAATTTGAGATACAGATGGAAATGCGTGTATATAAAAAGTATACGACAGTTTTTACAGCTACAGCACATGAAACACAAAAGTTTGAAACCAAAAGCAAAAGGTTTAAATTCAGAGTTGATATACGTATAAGCGCAATCATACAAGAACATTACAATGAGAAACCAATTAAAGTAACGTTATAGATAATGTATTGGTATTACCTTGCCGGATCTTTTCAGATGAGCGGAATAAGCCTTGACGAATTCGTGAGGAGAAACATCCTTCACGGTTCTTGCAGTCGCCATTGTAGTTGCAGCGATTGATCTTCGTTCACAGCAAAAGAGACGACGGCAATGGAGCCCTGAACAAGAGAATAGCAGCTAGGGTTTGCCCCATAGTTGTACCTTTATATATGACCACTTGTGAGTATAAACGATATATCAGCCCGGCATTCTTTGGGCTTCCTAACAAACATCAACGTTTTATTAAGGTGAGTTCTACGGCCCAAATCATTCTTTTAATTTAAGTACATATTTTTTCTAGTTTAATGTTAATTTTGTAAATAGAGTTCCTATTACAAAAGTCTTTAGATTATAATTTTGTCCAAATTTTCAAGAAACATCACGTTCTTTTCCATTTGAAGCCAAAAAATCTGAGAAAACTTGTTATTTACATTTTTTTTGTCCGTTGATTTCTTGCAATAGCTAAACTTTGGAATCTTAGCGTTTGTTCAATGAGAGTTGGGTTGAGTTAGATCAATAGTCTAATATAAATGTTAATGTTGAAAATAAATAGAGATAATGATTTGGTGTTTTTTAATAACCTAACAATAATGTAATGGATGGTAGTCTAAGGCTAAGGGAATACGATCGAAGGAAAATGTGGGATGGTTGTAGTTTAACTTTTTTTTTTTTTGAACAAAAACAAGAGCTTGTTAATGATTTGGTGGAAGGTTTCATTGGAAAGGATAGTCGGAGTGACAAGATTGTAGTAATCTGGTGGGAATGGGTAGTGGGGGTGCTCGTACTTCATCTTTTCCTAATTACACATAGAAATTGTAACTATAGATTTTTTCATACAGGGTTACGGAGCAAGCAAACACACAAAACCGAGACTTTTTGCCAAACAAACAAACATGTGACTTTTCATCTTGAGTGGATTTTTAGTAGATATTTTTAATTGCGATGAAGAATATACATTTTAATCAAGGTTAAAGCATAACTCGAAACATGTTCAACTCAAAACAAATCCTTAAAGTGAATATCTAAATCAACGGTGTTGATTCTTCTATGGACAAAGACAATTCTCGAAACATGTTGATCTTGAAACAAAATGAAGGCGTAACTCCAATCAAGACAAAAAAAAGTGTTCACTTTCTTTTTCCTAAATCAAAAATCCATATCAAAACTTGTTCATCTTGAAAAAAAGGATGAAAGATCGAAATAGTATAAAAAAAAGTTGTTCTTATTCTTCCTCGTGTATTAAACATCTATGAACTAGTTTGATTCGTCTTCATTGTAACACATAAACAACAAAAGAGTTATTCTAAAATTATTTATAAAGGCTTACAACTTTTATATAAACATTCACAAATTGTGCACCTTCATTTTAAAATATGTAACGGGTATCGCATGCTCGAAAGAAACATATAAATGTATAGACTAAGATCAAGAAGCTAGTTTTTATAATTTATATAGAAAATAAAGGATCTTCCAAAACTTCTAGTCCTTTATAAATTCATCATTTACCCTTGTTACTAGACCCCATACCGAACGTAAACATAAAACATAAGGAGTAACAATAATATCATATCATAACTAAATGTCCTTGCAGCAGCCACATATGAATGGATGAACAATATGACACATGGGTGTATGATGAAATGAAATATAATGCTCACAAAACATGACACATTAACGACTCAATGATTCATATGTGACCCAACCAATTTTAATCCAATATATACATAACCCAACTTAAGATTACCATCAATATACTATGGTTATAATCAAACTTTTCCCTACCACGGGACTCTACTCAATCTTGTCATCTTTGTTACTATACTTAAGCTTACCATCAATATAGTATGTTTATATGCACGTGTAGCTATTATGAAATCTACAACTTTCGTTTAGACTCCTCCATCTAATTCTCATCTTATTTTTTATTTATTGTTTTTAGAAGGCTTAGACTACTAACCTTCGTTTAAAATTCATATCTTGTACATATGACATTCGTTCTCAACTGTCTTTATATCGACAGACTCCTATTCACGAGATCTTCAACTCTTATTTAAATTGTTTCAGCTAACAATCAACAGATGTGAATTTCGATTTTCGTGTCTGCACTGCTGGGTTGGAACTTCGGAAAAATATAATTTCCTCTCACGAAGTCATATTTGGACTATCACACCCCCAAACTAGAAAAGTGGAAACTTCTGGGGGCGGATGACTTCATGTACAGTATCATAACAATTGAATAATAGCAATCAAAGCATTACAACCATTGCATTAAATGTTTAATAAGTTTACATTGTGTTCAAAACATTGTTTACATAATATCAAATGCATATGACAAAATGAATAACGAGATGCGACGACGTCCCATCTACCAAAAACTTATGTGGTTACCTGTTTACTTATTTTCTGAGAATACAAGTGATTTTGAAAAAATGTCAACAATTAAGTTGGTGAGTTCATAAGCGTTTTGTATGAGAAAAATTTGTAACTGTTTCGTGTAAAATGATAGTGTATACTTCCAGAAAATCCAATATTTTCTTTATAAATGAACTGTAAGTCTTAATCCAAAGACTAAAAATGTAAGTAATGTTGTACTGAAAGGCAGTGTTATGGAGTTTTATCTTTATATAAACTACTTGAATGTATGTTAACCTCGTTGTAAGTCTTAACCCAAGACTAAGATGTAAGTGATACGGTACTGGAAAATAGTTTTAGCAAGATTTATCTTTTTGTGAAAACTATTTGAGTGTACTTTAGCCCATAAACCAAAATGTTTTGTTAATACTCTGTGTGGGTTATTATAACCATACTAATGCGACTAGTTGGCCTGGACGACGTTCTTCATGCATCAGAACTGTTACGACATTTGTCACCTTAGACTGGCCGGTCTAACTGTAGCTAACAGCTGAGGTGCGGGGTTGTCAATCCCGTATAGACCTATACACAAGTGTCACGCTTTCCTACAAGAGACTCTGGTTATAATTCATGACTTAGTTGTGTACTCTAGTAGGTACGGTGAAGCCAAATGCCTCACAAGTCTGTATCAACCGGTTTACGTCTATTGTACTGAAAATTCGTTATCTTGTAAACAAATAATTATACATTTAAATAATTATACGTTTCTTCTGAAATGAAAGTGTGGTTTTTGTGACTCCCAAACTATATCAATTATAGTTTATCATGTTTGTTTGTCAATAACATTTATATAATCATTTATATAAATACATAATAATTATCTTGTTTAGTTTCAAAATGTAAGATCAAACTTCATATTTTTGGGTTGTAACCCACAAAATAGTGAAATAATTAGAATGTACTCCTTTTTGTTAGAAAAACTATATTTTGGTAAAAAAAAACTCCCAAAAACCTTATAGTTTTGCAAATTATAATTTTTCTCATGATTTTTACAACACGTATCATGTTTTGTTTTTGTTAATTTGGCATTTGAAAACTAATATATCACAAATATTTGTACAAAAGTTAGTATTAATCACATCTATGCAAATAATGGCTTATACTTTAACATAAAGATGAAGCATGCAAGTATTCGTGTGATAAACAATTTTGACTTGTATCCCCCCCCCCAAAAAAAACATGAAAATCTCGAAAATGTGGGGGTATGAACTCACATTGAGTGAATTTGTGGGTTGTTTGAAGAGATGGTGTGAAGATCTTCAAGTCTAAACACTTGAATGTGGTTGATGAACACTCTTGGAAATGACCTTATCCTAAGAGTTTTAACACATAATAATGTGTGTAAATAAAATGAAACTAACATGAAAGGGTATGAAAACACTAGATAATCAATAAGAACTTACCAAATCTCTAAGAATAAATTTTGGAGATTTTTAAACTTGAAGGATCTGGACTTCATTCTTTGTGAGGAAAAATGGAGTTAATAGTATGAAGTAATGGATAATGGTGGGGAGTTTTGGGTGTGTTTTGTCGTAGTTAAAGAAGAAGATTTGAAATGATGCTTGCTTTGTTATCTGTTGGACAATTACTTTGATACATGCTGGGTATTAATCCTTATGGGAAACTGATGAAACATCAAGTCAAAAAAGTCAAACTCCTTATCTTCTCTTTATTACCACCGAAATCACCTTAGGAAGGATCACATTGGTGATTTCGGCCAAGGCATGACCGGAATCACCTTGTACCCCATGCGATTTCGGTCCTAATCCCCCACAAATGAGTGTTTTCGCTCCTAGTGGTTTGGATCTTGGGTGTTTTCGGCCTAGAGGTGTTCTAGGTTGATGATTTCGGCCTAGGGGTGTTCTAGGGTGGGTGATTTCGGTCTAGCGGTGTTCTAGGGTGGGTGATTTAGGTTTTTGGCTTCTTGACTTTCAAGGTCCATTACAAACATGGTTTTCAATATATATATATATATATATATATATATATATATATATATATATATATATATATATATTAATCATACAAATGATGCCCTTTTGGCTTTCATAGTTTTATTGCAACAAAATTACGTTGTGAATTCATTTGTACACGGTTACAATTTAGACATTGCTTGTTCCAAAAATTTCCAGTTGTCACAAGGACATTCTCCATATGCATGCTCACAGTTTTACGATTACTACGAATTTTGTTTAGATTACTTAGACTAATAAGCAATCTATCTAAAATTCACCTTTTTACAACGCACGTAGCCTTTTCGGTTCGATCGCGAAACTTCGAAGAAACACAACTTCTTCATACGACGTTGGATTTCAGAGTTCTTTACATGTACATAGTCATCTTCACATATACTATAAATTTAGTTAAGGGATTTTTTTTATCCTAAATAACCTTCTATCAAAATGTTGTTTTTATAACTTATTATATTTTAATCGTCTAGTCCGAAGTTACGGGCGTTATACATATACTACTTAACTATGTGTGTGTGTGTGTAATATGATTTACACCCTTAAATAGTTTTAACATTTAAAAGATACTAATATATTATTTTATTATGTACTTTTTTTACATAATTATAATGAGGTTATATGCATTTTACTTGAAAAATACTATAGACAATCACCCCCAACTCCAGATCATGTGTAGCATAGTTCGCCTTATGAGACTTTAGCTGCCTCGACGCGTAAGCGGTCACATGTCTCATCTGCATCAATACCGC